CAAAAGGTCTCCCCTCCCTCATAATATCTGTCCCTTCCCATCATAGATCTGCTCTCTTCCTTCTCTAGCACCTAAACCCTAAACCCTAAACCCTCGACCTATGCCCTCCAAACCAGCCTTCCTCTKAGCCGATCTTGCTCGCATGTCCTCCTTTTCTGCGTTGCTCCTCTCCCTCCTGTTTTCTCTTTCTTGTCCCATCCAGCCTACAAAAGCTTCCACTGCATCCAAAGTTCCTGCTGCGTCTTTCTTCCGTAGGCCCATAGAAAATTCTGCTGCGTCAGAAGTAGTCCCTTCGAGGGTTCTGCCTCCTTGAAAGTTTTGCTGCATCAGAAGGTGTGCTGCTTCAAGAGTTCTGCTGTCACCATAGTTAGCCCTTCAACAGTTCTGCTGTATCTCCCTTCCGCCTGACCCATAGAGTCACTTTTTCTGGTGCGTTTAGGCTCGGTCCTTTCCACCTTCCGAGCTTGCTCAGGGATGTTAGTTCGGTGGGGCTATTCCAAGGGTTATTCGGGGAAAGGAGACGGGAAGAGGTACTTGGTGAAGGTGCGTGAATCCCTTGTCTTGTCAGTCCCAGCCCTGAAACTGCAGAGTTCCTTTCTTTATCTTTGTCATTCTGTTTTCGTAGAGCAGATTTTCTCAAACCCCTTCTGTCTCACTTCACGCTTTTCTGGCTGTGTTAGCCCCTGTTGTTCTTTTTGTTCCTTCGCCCATCGCGCTCTGATTTCTGTTTGTATGTTGGATTTTACTTCTTCCCATCTTTCTTCCATGCTTGGGAATTGACTGTCCAGAGTGCCCTTGCACCTTGCTTTCCATATTACCCACAGGGTCGATCTCCTCCACAGATCTGCCAAGTGAATTTCCTCTTCTTCCAGGTCAGTGTCCTCAGTTCTTCCTGTCAGTAGGTAATTTATTCATGAGGGAAACGTGCGGCCTGTCACCTTATTCCATGCCTTTTTTGTTCTGTCCCATTTTTCTTGGGCTCGTTGGCAGAGTGAAAAGCAATGTATCATGGACTCTTCTATGTTCTCATTACACACTTTGCACCATGCTGATTGAGGTTGGATGTCTTCTTGTCGTCTTCTTTTACTGAGCCATTGGTTGACAGGTACTGCCCAGTAAATTATGAGCCATTGCAGGCTACTAATTCTTGCCGGCCTTATGCAGGCGAACCTGGACCAGGGTATTGGGCCTGCCCAACCTGCGTTTTCTCCTGCATTTTTCTTCCATCTATCGTTGATTACTAATGAAGGGTCCTTGGTGATATTAAGTAATCTGTATCCCGCTCTTACCTCATAATTGTGCAGGTAGGTGAGTTTCTTGGCCCTTCCCCTTCTACCCGGGACATACCACCCCCATTCCGCTGGGTCCACTTCTAGTTCCTCGATGCTTCGTTCTGGTCTATAGATCCAGACGTCCCTCTGCACTTGTTCGGTCTGTGGACTTCCTTTGTGATTGTTTTTGGGCGTACAAGCTCTAACTTTTTTTAGGTTCGCGAGTTCCATTGTTACCCTTGGCTCTAGTATTTTCTCTGGTTTCACCCATGTTTCGTGAGTATCTATTAGCTCCCATGCTTCAAACTCTGCCTTCCCTTTCCCTGCTTCCAGCATTTTGGTCAGCTTGTATCCTACGTGCGGTATAC